AGACTTAGAGCACAAAAAGGGGTAAACTGGGGTAGGTGGCTATTCAAGCAGGAGACCAAGTTACCAATAGGAATTTTTCCCAAGAGAAGGAGAAAGCTCAGCAAAGTATGATAGAGAACAGAAATGTAAGCATAGTACTAAATTGTAGGTCATACACATGGAACCTGAATAATCTGTTTTGCAACTGGGTTATTAACAGGCTGTCTGAGCAGCTGGTTACTGGCGTGTAGTGAGTGGCCAGAAAATAAGAAAAGAAAGAAAAGGAGAATAAACTTGAGGTGAACCAGTGGTTCTCTTACCAGCTGGGAAAAACACAGAGGCCATGTGCTTTCCCTCCCTGCTCCCACAGAGTGGGACACACTAGATAAGTGTTCCTGGTGCCATGAAAAAACTTCTGAGTTCCCCAGGTTCCATTAATTTTTACTACCCTTTAGTTCTCTGCCTCTCTCAGTAACTAAAAGAATTTGAACCTTCCAAGAGACGAAAGATCATCCTGGGGAGAAAAGGGAATAAGAAAAGGATTGGAGCTTTCCTGGGGTGGGGTGGGGGACTAAACCAGACCTTCTCAGCCGTAGGTTTTAGAGACAGAGAAACAAACTGTGCCCAAAGAATCTTACCTGTTCCTGCCTGGCTCAACAAGGTATGTTACCGGGTTTGAGGGTGCTGAAGTCTCCTTATAGAGGTGTTTTCTAGGTTCTTGCTGAAGAAAGAATTGGTCAAAACAAGAGCAAAAGGTAGGGAGGTTTTATATTTATTAAAAGTAGAAAAAGAAGCATGCTCAGCAGAGTGAATTTGGGCCAAGTAAAAGTAGGAAAAAGGGTACATGGTACATCTTGAGAATGAGCTACTGTGAAAGAGAGAACACAGTAGGCAGAATATGAGCCAAATGACGAGGTGTGGTGGCACACACCTGTAATCCCAGCTCTTGGGAAGCTGAGGCAGGAGGATTGCTGTGAGTTCGAGGCTGCTTGGCCTACATAGTGAGTTCAAGGCCAGCCTACTACATAGTGAGACCCTGTCTCAAAAAACAAAACAAACAAAAAACCCCAACTGACACTTGTTTGTTCTCCCTAAAAGTGGTTCTAGGTGCAGGAAGTATGTGACTTACCTGAGGCCTTAGGTTATAACCCAGATAGGGTTTTTAGCAGTCCTGCCTATGTTTTTATATCTTCAATAGGTCTCAGTAATTATTTATTGATAATACTGACACTATAAAATGATAGAGTGGTGACAAGCTGGTTTTTTTTTTTTTTTTTTTTTTTTTGGGGAACCGAACTAGGACTTTGTGCATGCCCAGGCAGGCACTTTGCCGCTGAGCTAAATCCCCAGCCCCTGGTTTTTTTTTTTTTTAAATAATCAGAGGCATAGGTCAAAACTTAGCTCATCGTGTTTTTAGTAGAAGAGCACATACTTCAGCTAACACCCCCAAAACAAAAGTTTTTTGAGGCCTAGACTAAACAAAAGTCCCATTTTCCTCTAAAAAGGCAGGAAAGCTGTGCCTTAGAATGCGTGGTAGATCCAAAGCACCCTGCCACGTAATTCAGGGAACTGAGATTCCAGCTGGCCCCCTGGCTGGTAATTCCTCAACACTTGGGTGTGTACTGACATTGCCAAGTAGGTTGGAAGGATTTAGGGAACAGGAAATAAGCTGCTGGGAGATAAGGCGGCAGCTGTGAACTGTAGACAGGGGAGGAAATGAGAATGAACACTAGTCGAAGGAAACAACATTAGCAATTTCACTTCATTTTTAAACCAAGAATTACTGAAAAGATGTCTGTCTCTAGTTTAGGGCTGTTACCCCTACTCACTTAATCTAGTTAGACCTCTCAGTGAAGAAATACGAGTGGGGACCACATTTCCTGTTACTACTGCCTCTCAACTGATTAAGAATTACAAAAGGATGAAATCAAGTCTGTGAACATTTCGTTTACCCAACAACAGCAACTGTGTTGTTACAAGACCAGGAAATCGTTAATTTAACGTTAGAAATAATTTTAAAATATTTTTTCACCTCTGTTCTTTTGTGTTTGTGTCATGCTGTGATTATGCAGGCTGTTTTCATGAAGAGGGGTTTTGTTGATGTTAAATGCACAACTCTACATGGCAATGGCTAGTAAAGGTAAAACATAGAATAATGTAAACTGATCTTTGTCCTCTGAAACAGGACACCTTGTGATCGATACTGTTTTACAGAGAGATTCATAGTAGGCATGTGCTCACTGTTAACCTAAGGAAATTGTAATTTTAGAGCAGGTCAGTTGTAAATATAATGTTCTTATTTTTATATTTTATCCCATACTAGTCATTATGAAGGACATTAATGATTGTGGGCCTCAGTGATTAATGTTTGTCTGTAGAGAGCAAATTGTAGCTGTGTGCACATTTGTGGATGATAGGGCTTGGGCCAAATCACTGTTGGATCAGAAAGAAATTTACTAAATTGACTTGTATTAAGTGTTAAGTGGAAAGTGGAAGTATTGTATTAAGTGGAAAGTCAGAAGTTTTTAACACTTCAATGTCGTTTAGAGATTTCCCTCATTGTTGGCTCAATTTTTTAAAAACAAAATTAAAGGGCTGGGGATTTAGCTCAGCGGCAAAGCGCCTGACTGGCAAGCGCAAGGTCGTGAGTTCGGTTCCTGGTACCGGAGAAAAACCAAAAAAAAAAAAAAAAAAATTAAATCAGTAATTGTAAATAGAGTATTTTTAAACTAGTCTTAAATAAATGAATCTTAATTTATTATCCTCTTACTCTATTGAGGACCCCCACTATGTATGTTCACTACTCTATAATTGCACACAAAACACTATTAATCCTGTCTAGTAAACAGAACTCCTTTGAAGTCAAAGATGCCCTAATTTCTGTCCTTAGTGCCTAACAGTGTCTGGCTCTTTTTGGGCAGGCAGGTGGGTAGTATTTGCTGTCATTAAAATGCCTTTGGGAGTTTAAAATAGCCTACTTTTATAGTTCAAAGACACAAGTTAGCAAGGATCATAACTTTGAATTGTATATTAATCATTTGATGAAGCATACCATCGCAAAATTTCTATGCCTGTACTTGAAGATGAGCACACACAAAAAGTCATGCATGGTGGCACACGCCTGTGATCCTAGCACTCAGAGGCTGAGGCAGGAGGATCGTTGTGAGTTTGAGACCAGCCTGGGCTACAAAGTGAGCTCAAGGCCAGCCTGAACTGCATAGTGAGACCCTGGCTCAAAAAGACCAGGAAAAAAAAAAATTAGGTGAGCACACCCATCCCTTTCCTCATCAGCACAGATCTACATTTACAGGCTGGTAACTTCAGTGGACTGTGTCAGCTGTAACCCTACAGAATTGGACAAACTCAAGGAAGAGATTTTTGCTTGCACATGTGGATAGGTGAGGCTACCTGGGGAGTTTCTCATCCTTGCAAGTTGACAAGTGTGGTAATCCCTCAGCCTAGGGATTTCTTTGATTTTTGCAGAGTTTTTAAAAAGATGTGGTACTCTTCCTCTCTAAAAAATTGAGGATTTTATTATACATCTCATAAGTGGTGATATCACTAAGTGTGTTAAACCAACACTGGCTCAAGGCAGACTAAATCAGACCATTCATAGGAGTCTCTCCTAAGTCCCTGGTACTCTGAGCACATTTAAAGATGTAAAATCAGATGTGTTAATTACAGAATTTTAAGAAGTTGGTCTGAAAGCAGGAAGCATGCTTTGGACAGATGGATATAAGATGTGGTCTGGGTGTAATTGTGGGGGTCCTTGACCATCAGTCCTAAGGCTCAGCTTCTACTTCAGAATCTTCAGTTAGAATTTCAAAACTGTTTATGCTGGCATTGCGTGTTCACAGTGCTTATAATGAGTTTACTAGGCAAAATGCTGAGAATAGACAGGGCTCTCAATGAATAGCAAGAGTATTCCTTCTGATAGATGATAATCCTTTTCATTGACAGTGTCAGTGGTGCATGTATGTTTGTGGGTATTCTTGCTTTCCAGTTTGACTTTTAACTTACCGAGGGTACTAGGAGTGGTTCGTGTCATCCAACTGAGTGTTAGCCACCTAGCGTCAGTGAAATAAACGTGTGCTGAGTGTCTGACTAAATCGGTTCATTCGTTGTCATCGGGATAAGCCAGCCCTAGGGAATACGCACAATCTTCAACTCTGAAGCACTGTATTGGTTTTGTGGTTCATGGCCTCCTGAGACCAGTCCAAACCTTTATTCCCTTACAGATTATACTGGGCTTTGTGAAGGCTGATCTCAGACTTCTCAGCATTTACTTAGTCTCACAAACTATGTCAGACTTTCTACCTTTTTTAGACAAGTGAAAGATAAGAAAGATGGAAATGATTTGTCTAGATTCAAGATTTTCTAAATTTTCTAAGTTCTGTTCACAAAATTTGAATCTTACCACTTCTTCAGATCTCCTGTGTGGTAAATCTTAAAACATCTTAAATTTTCTTTGTCTTTTTCCATATTGGTTGTACTTAGATGCTTGAACTATTTAGAAATAAGGAATTCCAAGAAAAATACAGAAATGTTCACTTTTGGCAGAAAATGCAATAAGAACTTTTTCTTTTTTGGTACTAAATAAGTATCATCATTTAAAAACAATGAAGTTTGTGAAAATCATTTCTCAATATGTAATATAACAACCATTTTAAATTTCTTATCATCGTGTTTTCAAGTTTGGTGTCATTTTAATTTTTTTTTATCTCTTTAAAATAAAAAAAAGGTTAAAAATTATCTCTGTACAACACAGGACTAGCAGATGAGGGATTGTTGCATATTTTTGAAAAGCATGTACTTTACTGGGTTCAGGGTGGTCCTCTGATTTTATAGCAATGGCCATACTCCTCCTGCCTTGTCTTTGTTCAGGTGTTAGGTGTGTCTGGAGCCACCACTTTACTAATCCCCTCATGCTCCCTGAGCCTTTCTCTGTGACTGACTGCATTCTGTTTAGCTATAGAGTCTGAACACTTTGAGGAAATAACTCTGACCCTGTGGTTTTCCAGGTTGTGCTGGTGAGGTGGAATGAGCCATACCAGAAACTGGCCACATGTGATGCAGATGGAGGAATATTTGTATGGATTCAGTATGAAGGCAGGTGGTCTGTGGAGCTGGTCAACGATCGAGGGGCTCAGGTGAGTAGGCAGCAAGCCTCTTGCAATGAAAGTACACCGTGTTGTAGAGCATAGGTATTAGCATTGCGTGGCACTGAAACTTGGGAACAAAGTAGAAGAAAAATAAATAAAATTAGAACCTTGCCTTTCATTCAGCTTGAGTCACTTGATAGAAGGTGAGAGTGTGAGATCATACCTCCTTCTCATCCACTAGGCTGCTGCTGTGACAACTCTCCAAGCTATAAGCGATCTGTGAATCATTTTTGACCCAGTGTTGTGCTTACATGTTAAATTGGGATCCTCTGAAGTGCTTCTACCATATCACTTTCTTGCTCCCTTTTAGAAGGTATTTTCCCTGTGCTGTGCTCTTTATACTTCTCTCACTGGTAGCGCCACATGATTATTTCTTGTACTCACCAACCAAAGAGTTTTTAACACTTATTTCTATCAGTTTCAATTAATACGGGAACCTGTTGTCAACTTCTACTCTTCCTTTCTGATACAGTTTGTCTCTGCTTTGAAGAAAATAATTGCTTCAAGGACACCTTGCTGAGCTGTGCTATTTGTAGGACTGCTGCATGGATTGTTCTGGCTTGTGATGCAGCTCCCCCTTGAATGTATGGATGGGCTGCCTGGCATTCTTCATGTGCGTAGGGACACATGTTGGGGCAGACAGTTCTCACCTGTGAATTTGACAGAACTATATAGGATTGAGAACCTGCATCCTCAAGGGATGAGGGTTGGGTTTTTTGTTTTGTTTTGTTTTTTGACTCTTAACTCTCCTAGAATGATTCCCCTGTATCTTGCTATACATTCTCAAAAGATAGGATTCTTATCCTCCTCTGTCCTGCCTGTTGCTTAACTAAGTTTCCCAACCTCGAAAGTTACAGACCAGGAAAGTGACATAAAATTGCTAGAAATGAAGATACTATTGCCAGAGAGTATTACCTGGCTGAAGGTTTCTGTAAAATGTCATCACAGAAGAAAAACCTATCTCTCTGTGAAAACAGAACATTCATTCTTTTGTGTGTGTTTACTTAGTAGATAAACAACAGTATTGACTGATTCTGATAAAGCACACCTCCCTGGGGTGAGAAAAATAGGAGGTAACACCTTCTTGAAAGAGAGCTGCAAGTATGGAAATCTCCATGACCATGAGAAGTTCAGGTCAGTTTAGGAGTGGATGAGCAGTAGCTTTGAAGTCAGACAGCATAGTCCAGAAATCTCACTCCAGGACTTCTAGGTTGGAGGTATTCCAGTTTTCCATGTCTGGGTTTCTTCATGTGTAACACAGGGACAATAATTCTCTCTGCCTCAGAGGATCACTATGAAGATTAAATGAGAATGTACCTGAAAAGTGTTTATACCCCTGTCTGCACATAGCACCTGTCATCATGCATTACTATAGTGTCTGTAATACTTCGTGGTACTCCTACCTCATGGTGCCCTAATGCAGAGCCCACCTGCCTTGAAACAGTAGCCATGTAGTCTCAAAAACAAATTTGAGGCCTAGAGATGGTAACTTTTCATGGTTTTCTGAGAAGTACACAGTTCTCTTGAGGTTTCCTGGAGGGTTTCTAACATACCATAGCTCTCCCTGTAACCAAAGGATAAAATTCTTTTCCTAGATAGGCCTGTGTAGGGTGAGACTTGTCTTCAGGTTTAGGATGGCAAGAACGCTTTAAATCATTACTCAGAGGAAGAAAGGAGAGGGCAGCTAGGACACATGCCAACTGTGTGCTTGGCTTTTTTCGTTTGTTACTTTTCTCAGTCTCCATTGAATCTTTTTTCTGTTTTTTGTTTTTTGTTTTTTTTATTTTAAAGAATAAAAGAAGGATAACATAATAATAGGGGGGACTTAGCAAATTACAGACAAAATGGTAGGAAATTATCAATGGTTATCATTTTACATATTATTGTCTACAAAATAGTTTCTCAGGAAAACAAATAGACAATAGTGAGT